TCTTCCCAAAGGGAAAAATTATTCCTTTTACTATAGCCATCCCAAATTCAGGATATTCGTCCCAAAGGGAAAAATGATTTTTTGCTATGGCCATCCCAAATTCAGAATGTTCTTCCCTAAGGGAAATATCATTCTTCTTGCTATGGCCAAATTCAGAATTCTTCTCTAAGGGAAAAATTATTCCTTTTACTATGGCCATCCCAAATTCACAATATTCTTCCCTAAGGGAAAAATTATTCTATTTGCTATGGCCAAATTCACAATGTTCTTCTCAAAAGGAAATAGTATTCTTCCTGCTATGGCCAAATTCAGAATTCTTCTCTAAGGGAAAAACAATTCTTCTTGCTCTAGCCAAATTTACAATAGTCTTCCCTAAGGGAAAAATGATTCTATTTGCTATGGCCAAATTCACAATGTTCTTCCCTAAGGGAAAAAAGTATTCTTTTTGCTATGGCCAAATTCAGAATTGTTCCCTAAGGGAAAAAGTATTCTTCTTGCTATAGGCAAATTCAGAATGTTCTTCCCTAAGGGAAAAATGTATTCTTCTTGCTATTGGCCAAATTCACAATATTCTTCCCTAAGGGAAAAATGATTCCATTTGCTATGGCCATCCCAAATTCAGAATTCTGCTCGAAGGGAAAAAGTATTCTTCTTGCTATAGCCAAATTCACAATGTTCTTCTCAAAGGGAAAAATGATTCTTCTTGCTATGGTCAAATTCAGAATTGTTCCCTAAGGGAAAAAGTATTCTTCTTGCTATGGCCAAATTGAGAATTCTTCCCTAAGGGAAAAATGATTCTATTTGCTATGGCCATCCCAAATTCAGAATATTCTTCCTAAAGGGAAATATTAATCCTTTTGCTATGGCCAAATTCAGAATTCTGCTCGAAGGAAAAAGTTATTATTTTTGCTATAGCCAAATTCAGAATGTTCTTCCCTAAGGGAAAAATGATTTTTTGCTATGGCCATCCCAAATTCACAATGTTCTTCTCAAAGGGAAAAATGATTCTATTTGCTATGGCCAAATTCAGAATATTCTTCCCTAAGGGAAAAATTATTCTTCTTGCTATGGCCAAATTCACAATGTTCTTCCCTAAGGGAAATATCATTCTTCTTGCTATGGCCAAATTCAGAATATTCTTCCTAAAGGGAAAAATGATTTTTTGCTATGGCCATCCCAAATTCAGAATGTTCTTCTCAAAGGGAAAAAGTATTCTATTTGCTATGGCCAAATTCAGAATTGTTCTCTAAGGGAAAAATGATTCTATTTCCTATGGCCAAATTCACAATGTTCTTCTCAAAAGGAAATAATATTCTTCTTGCTATGGCCAAATTCAGAATTCTGCTCGAAGGGAAAAGTTATTATTCTTGCTCTAGCCAAATTCAGAATGTTCTTCCCTAAGGGAAAAATTATTCTTCTTCCTATGGCCAAATTCAGAATTCTTCTCAAAGTGAAAAGTTATTATTTTTGCTCTAGCCAAATTCACAATAGTCCTCCCTAAGGGAAAAATTATTCTTTTTGCTATGGCCATCCCAAATTCAGAATATTCTTTCCAAAGGGAAAAATGATTTTTTGCTATGGCCATCCCAAATTCAGAATATTTTTCCCAAAGGGAAAAGTTATTCTTAATTCTTACAGCCAAATATTCAGAATATTCTTCCCAAAGGGAAAAAATATTCTTCCTACAGCCAAATTCAAAATATTCTTTCCTAAGGGAAAAATAATTCTTTTTGCTATGGCCAAATTC